GAGAGAGAGAGAGAGAGAGAGAGAGAGAGAGAGAGAGAGAGAGAGAGAGAGAGAGAGAGAGAGAGAGAGGCTGGTGCTATGTTGGTGAAGCCTCCTTGCTCCTCCCGCTGCTTTCTTTGGCTCCGGCTGCTTCCCACTGGCCGTTGCAGATGCCAAGACGACGACTGTGGCGACCAACGGCAGCACACGGCGCCGCAAAGGAGAACCCACGAGTAGGACACTATGAGGGACTACGGGGGTATCTCCATGTAGCGTTGGGGAGGTCTGAGTAGTTCAAAATCGAACTACTCAGATCTCCCCCCAAACTTCTTTTTCGGGCCTGCACGTGGCCCAAGGAAAACAATTCCGCCCCTTGTGTGACATTTTACGCCACACTGGACTTGGGCCTAGAACACCCCCCCTCGACTTCTTTTTTTTTACCCCTTGTTTTTTGGGTGCTCTGCAGGCAGCGCACGCACCGTGTGCGATGCATGTTGGGGCGAGTGTGCAGGGTCGGCGCACACTGTGTGCGCCGCATGTATGGTTTAAGTCCTCTTTTTTTTGTGTTAAGTCCCTTTTCGCATTTCACCCTCACAAAGTGTGTTTACCTAACATGCCCTCTGTGTTATCCGGTGTGTTGTTCATGTGCGATCAACCCCAATAGTACGTTAGTGCTTGCATCACTTTCATGAAGTTTCATCATAAAAGAGTTGAACCGCATTGTTTTTCTCTAAGAAGAAAATCCGTTCGCCTGGGCCAGCGAGTGGTGCCCAGACACATGCCCCGATGCCTGGCTGGGCCTGACCCGTGCGCAGGGATCTGGGCAGCCCCAATGCAAAAATAAATCAATAAATAATATACCTGGGAAAAAAAATGTGCCGTAGAATTGCAATGCAAATAATAAATTTAATATACTGAAATGAGTGCGAGGATTTAGATCCTCGGCATGCCTGTGAGGGGTCCTTGCAGTAAGCATGCACCCGATCTAAATGAAGGCGGGCCCCCAAATTTCAATGAGGCCTGAGTTCGTCAATTTTGCAAAGCTTTGGTGGGCTGCAGGCAGTTGGCCACACACCAGTTGGTTACGTCCGCCCTGCTCGTGAGAATCAGAAATATTTGTGAGCCGTCTAGGCTCTTCCAGCAACGTGAGGAAAGCAGGGAACACCGTACGTTTGAGCCTGGGTGGTTGGACATGCCTAACCAATTCGGTCGCAGGCCACTGTCTGGACAGACCTGGGCGCAGACATTTCGGCCCAAGGGGAAGCTACAGGGCACACGGCCACCAGGCCCAGGCGGCCTGCACAGGCAGGCACTTTCCATATAGGAAAGTGCCAGCCTGCCATTCAGGCATTCGGGCACTCGGGTGAGCGGGCGGCAGCGCTGCTGGCGCTTATGCTCACGCGTTGCTGCTAGTGCCAGTGCAGAGAAGCGAGCGCGGTCGCTAGTGGGAGGGTGCTGCAAGCTGGCAGCATCATAGCTCAGCCCTACATAGCGGGGCTGAGCTTGGATAGACAGCGGAGGTGGTGGTGGTCTTTGGGTAGTGAGAAGACATGGAAGATGAAGTCGAGGGTGAGCATGAGGGGGCGAAAGGGGAAGTGATGTGAGGGGACGTACCTGGTCTTGGTGGGGTTGTACATGGTTGACATCTGCATGTACTTTGGTTACTGCTGCTGACGTCAACTGGTTGCTTCGTCATTTCGTAGAGGACACCCACCGTTCCCGCCCCCCAAACAACAGACTTCTCCAGGCGTGACGCTCGGCTGCCTGATCGGGCAGGGAAAACTTCCTAGCTTTTTTTTTTTTGTTCTTTTTTTAAAGAAGGGGGCTAGTCCTTAACGTTAATGTACTCAACAGAGTTTGAAGTTTGAACTCTTGATCTATCAGCAATTACATGTGTGTGCTGTTCAACCACCAGGCAACTGAGGCAAGTGCATAACTGAAACACTACCCCTGGTGTCTATGCTTGCGTTTCTCCTTGGATTCGGTTGGGATGTGGCAGGAAGAACACGGAGCTTGGATGTCGCAACAGTGAAGCAAGGACAGATGGAAAGACAATTTTGTCTGAATATGTGCTGGGGTGAGTATTCCTTCCTCTTGTAGATCTGCCTGTGTCCAAAGGAAGAAACAGCGCATAATGGAAGAGTTACCTTGCTTCCTCTGTAGATATGCCTGTCTCCAAACCTTTTCCCTGAATGGATAAGGTTGGATAAGGGTCAGGGGGGATACAGCGTGTAACGGATTGAGGCACTTGAATGGATGGATGGATGGAGGGGGAAAGGCAGAGGTTGGGCTGGGGAATTGGCTGTCTGCAATCTGGTAGAGTTTGGTGTTGCAGGGGTCAGTGGATCGATGTCAAATGTTTGGTTGAATAGGTACACATTGGCAGAAGGG